GTGCATCTTTTGCTGTTCCCACAAGTCCTGTCACTGGTTACCAGAAGAGCCCTCTGCTTCCCCTCCTCATGGAGAAGCAGAAAGCAATGAGGTTATCTCTAAACCCCCTTTTCTCTAAACTAGAAACAGTCCTCATTCTCTTCTCATTGGAGATGCCTTTCAGCCCATGCCTTACAGCACACATTTTCTGATGAATCACAAAATGAGACAGGTTTCTCTGCATTTGAAGTCCAAAATACTATGATTAAGCAGTGAAAAGAAATGAACTTTCTCTCTCGAACTAGAATTTTTCTTAGTGCATTGAAGTCTAGCCACTAGTTATGAAACTCCACACCAGCTTCACTGTTTACACTGCTGAGCAAGCAGCAGCTTGCACTTAGTTTTACTCTAGACTGTAAGAACTACAAGTTCTGGAAGTCAGGCTTTGGATTGCCTCACAAGGGACTCAGAAATCTAAATGGTGTTTAAATGTTTTGACTGTGGGATTTGGGCCCACATCTCAGAGCGCATCCTGCCAGACAAATGAGAGTATTGGCATCTTTTTGTGTTAAACAAAAATTTTCCATACTTGAAGAATTTCAAAAAAGAGGAGAAGTTCTTTAGTCTGAGACTTCTCTGATTGGAAAGTTCCCACTGATATATTCTCACTATAGCAGGGAGGTATTTTATAGCTATGGCTGGAGCAGCATGCAAGTGAAAATAACTTCCCTCAGATAATTTCATTTTATAGGATTATTTCAGAGATTAGTAGAAACAGTTCATAGCAGTAATTCTGAGAAAGAAACAAACCTCTTTCACACAAATCCTACAGTGGTTGAATTATCAATTTTTTGAAAGAGAAAAGAGTAAACAAGGTAAATCACCCAATTTGATTGGTTTCTCAGCATAATAAAGTGCTGAAGCAGCACAGTGGAGGATTTGCTGGACAATTTTCTCCACTGAAGCTGTCAATTCATTCTGAAGCTTAGTGCTGATGGATATTATGGATTGGTATGGATTGCACTGCTCCAGCCATCTGAAAGGTCACAAGACAAACACAGCAGGAGTGACCTATTGTTCTTGCCATTGACAATCACACTGCCATTTTGACAAATCTTTAAACTATCACAAATCTTTTATTTAAGTATTACATGAAAATGTTTATCTTTTCTTTGTGGCACAATTAAAAGCTGGCGTCTTAGGAGTTCACTGAAGCAGTCGTAATATCTCCTTGGGTCATGCTTGCAAAGCCATGGAAGCCTGAGAATCTAATAGTGAATGGATCACCTTTGACATCTGTCAACTATACCACTGAGTATAATCTTTTCAGTTCCATTTTCAGATCACAAGGTGAAAAGAACTCAAGCTATTATCCCTAGTGTACAAATATGCTGGACTATTTCCCTTTCTTACCGAAAGACCACTGTTTCAGCCATAAAAATGAAGCTTCACTGCACCAAAAAATCGTGGCCTATAAAAATTGATGGGTTGGAACTATGACATATTGGTTTGTGGAGAAAAGAGAAAAACATACAAAGACAGTATTATCAGGAAATAACAAAGTACTTCTCACATCACATTTCAGCATTTCATTTCGTCTGCACAAGTTAAGGTTGGATTTCAAAGATAAACCCCACTCTAATCATAATTGTAATTCTATAATCTTAACTGTGCTTATTGCTGTTAGAAACATACTTCATATCTGTCTAAAACCCAGGCTTAGAAAAACATAATTCATACACGTATTTAGCTCCAGCTTCCCTCATATTTTAAACAGAGCACTTTAAAAAAGCATGAAGATTTAAACACAAAGTATGTAAGATCAGTTGTCAAACTGATTTCCTGAGTACAGGACTACAACCACTCTCAAAAAGGAGTGATTTTAGATTCACATAGATTAAAGAATTTACTGGGAATAGTCTCTTTTTTTCACTGTGTGAGTATCATATACATGCACAGATGCACAGAAACGTGCAGCATACACTTACTGCAAAGCCATTTGTTGTTATTATTTATTTAATGCAGACAGTGACTGATTTTGTACTGATTTGCAGTATAAAAACAAACCAATGCAGGGAACATTAACATTTCCCTTCTGTGCAGTAATAGTTAACAAACATTATCACTTTCTCTATCCTCTCTCTCTCCCTAGAAAGGTTACAATTACAGCAACATTCATGAAAACAAGTCTTTATTAAAACTCTCAGCTACACTAATCCAATTGCTCTCTAAGGCCACTTTATGAACTAAAGAAATGTCTATGAGAAATATTAGTAAGCAATAGATACCTCAACCATTATAGGACATATTTCATTGTTCCTGCAGAGTGTGCAAGTTCATTTTTAGCATATGTAATTTCCTAGCTTTTATTATTCTTGCAAAATTTCAGAATATATTTTTAAAAATTGCTTTTAAAAGATATAAGGTTTCCATTTTACTTTAGCATTACAATTAAACTTACTTAAGACAAAGAAGATTAATGACTCCCCCAAAACAAACAAACAAAAAAGAATGCATTTTGGAAGCTGAAGTTCTGAAGAAGTCATCTGCCACTGCAATGAAATCGTTTTGTTGTAGTTCAAATGCTATTTCACCCTGGTTAAAAAAAGTGTATTTTTTACTTTAGCTCAGTCTAATCAGTTAATTCTATTACTAACTCATTCTAGATTAGGAACTAAAAAAAAAAAACATTATTCTCATATTCTCTACAGTGACTTTGGAAAAAATGAGATCCAGTAGTTCCTATTGTGCTAAGAATGTAGTGAGGAGTTATCAGTTAATTTAACTGGATGCAGATACTATATGCTTTGTGTAACAAGCTGCTTACCATTACAAATACTTACACACACACACACACATATATATATATTTTTTTTTTTAAATAAACTTGTATATTTGAAACACTTGAACTAGTTTAATCTCATTTATTAAAAAAAAAATCTGGGCATTTTTATCTACATCCCCATGTTTATCTAAAAGCATCTTGCCTGAAAGTGACTAAAAATGCAATAACCTAATATGTAAGAATTACGCATTTTGTCTTCCTTTTATTAATATTTGTGAAGGAGCTGAACAAAAACTACAGTAAATTGTATTTGTGTATGTGAAATCCTCCAGAACCAGAAGTATTTAGACAAACAAATCTCTCTAGCAAGTTCCATTGAAAAACAATAGATGTTAGCTGAGCTAACTAGGAGAAAACCTGGTAAGATGAGTGGACAATCTACATGCTGCGAAGACTGGAATTCAGAGCATAGAGTATAAAAATTTTAGAGAATTCATGAGTAAAGTAAGTCAAGACAGTGGCAGTGGGACCTTACGGTGCCTTCCAGACTGATTGGAGCTGGGAGAAATAGCACTGAGCTGTGATAAAAAGTAGTTTCTACTGTTTCACATAGTGAAGGACATATGCAGGACATATGCAGGACATATGCAGGACACAGAGGTGTGGTTAAAATAGTCTCCCATCAGTTTCTGGTAAACTGGTTTCAATAACTCAGGAGACTCCCAAGTGCCCTGTTGGCAAACTACTTGAAGGACAAATGGTGTGACCTAAACAAAAGACTGGAAGAATAATCTGCTAATAACTAGCTTTCTCTAGGAAGAGCTTGTTTAGAATAGTTAGCCAGGCTCCAGTTTCCAGGAACCAGTCATCCAGACTTCACATGTTATAGGAAAACAACTCATAGTTGCAAAATGTTTAATCTGGTTAATTAAATCCAAAGCTCTTGATGATTAAGTGATGAACAACTGACACACAAGCAAGTTAACAGAAGTGTAAGAGGATGCCAAATCATTTGGGACTCTCCTTAAAGCAGATACTCCAAAACCCCCAAAGAGTGAGCACCCTCCTTCAGGATTTCTGATTCCGATAACTAACTTTTATTTCCTGCAGGGTAACCTCTGAGTCCTTATGAATATATTCCTTACATTATCTCTGAAAGCAGGTATTTGTTCCCTACTTTTTGAAAAATCTCTGTCTTTCTCTGTCTCTTTGATATTTGCACACTGCCAAGCCACAGCTTTCACCCTCCTCTCTACAGCCTGCTCCCTCCATGTGCTACATAAAATCTCTTCCCCCAAAATATCATCTTTTCTTTGTGATCCCATCTTTCTCAAGTGCAACCCCTGTGAGAAAGCTGTTCTTTCTGGTACCCAGCCACAAGTGTTTAGAAACAACAGAGTGTGGTCAAAACAAGAACTCTTAGCAGTCCTGTTGCCTTCAATTCCAATAAGAACAAAAGAGTCTATCCGTGCTACAGAAGTTTCTGTCTCTGTTTCTCAATAAAAAAAGCAGAGAATTGTAAGGTCGTTCTAGAAATTCCTAGCTTCTCAGACAAATTGAGTTAGGATGGCTAATCAAATATAACATTGCTCTTACAGGAGGATAAGGATGTAAAAGCACTCTTAATGTTCTAAGCTCCCAAATGCTCCTATGTTAAACTGTCTATCACTAGTGGAAAAAGTTGCCTTTTGAAAATATAGCATGAAATGTCAAATTCATTAGTGACATGACCTGAAATAATTAGGTCTTTCTTTCTAAACCAGCTGCATATGGGAGGTTTAGATTCCTTTTTTTTTTTTTTTCCTGATCAAAAATGAAACCACAGAGAAAACACTGTGCTTTATTATTGTGTGCCATTTTTTCAAAGAATGACTCAGGCATTGATATTTAGGCCACTTTCAAGTCAAATATTTAAAGAGCACATCCTAAGTATAAGCACACTTACTGACATATTGGAAGGTCACTTGAACATGAGAAGATAAAGTCTAAGCAAAAGACCTACAAAACTCAGTATCTTCCATGCTGGAGGAAAGGTAACTGTAAAAAAAAAAAAAAAAAAAAAAAGGAACTGTTTTCTTATATTTTCATCAAAGTACTGAACCAGCAGCAAACAGTTTCAGATGTATTAAAAATCAAGCCTGTGGCATTTTCCTCTTGTGCATTCATATTTCATTAGGTGCAATGACTTCATCTTTTATACATTTAAAAATTCATTCAAATTGGCTGCTATACTTACTCTTTCACTGTCACAATATAGCCATATTCTTTCTCCTCTGCAGACTTCACTTCAAGCTGTATGCCTTGTCCTGCATTTTTCTCAGGCTGTTCATAGGAGTTTCCATCCTTCGTTAAAGCGTTCTTAATCCAGTAGCGGGTCTCACTTGGGTCTTTGGAGACAGATTCAGTGCTCTCTGCAGCTGTCAGCTCCCTGGAGAAAGTCTCACTTTTTACATTTTCCACACCAGCATTTATTTCTTCTGAGGAAGAAGAGTCAGTATCTTCAGATTTCTTGGTTTCTGACTTAGTAGGTTCTTCATGTATTAAGTCTTTAGGCATATTTCCCGATAATGCATTATTTTTCAAGAAGTTAATTAATTTTGCAGTGTTCTCCTGTATTAAAAGAATATTATTACTTGTAAAACTAAATGTGTTATAATGAAAAAACCTGGATATTTTCCTTCAAGTTTATATTGATATATTAGAGTATTCATAGACTGTGGTCATTTTAGTTATTACTGCATGCTTCAAGACTATGCAGGAACAAAATATTTATTCATTAATAATAAATGAACATTAAATTATGCCACTGCACCGTTCAATAGATTTAACATGGGTGAAAGATTTTAATATTTTAAAGTTATTTTCTTATTCAAATACCACAGTATTTTTACTCAGAGAAAATCTGTTTAATAAACTGAAACAACAAGGAAATGAGCAAACGTCAAAACAATTCCCTGGAATAACTCATTAGCTGGATTAATTATATAAAACCTTATTGCAGCCAAGGACTTGGGAGGAGATGATGGCTTATGGGCACTTCGTGCTCTGTGTCAAATACATTTTTTTCACCTTCTCTGTTCAAACTGTCACCAATAAATTCAGTCATGGGATCCTCTATAAATCAATCATGAATGCACCACTTTATCCCCCTGAAGAATTTCATGTGGGTGGTTAGAACTCCTGACAAATTGTCCACCTGTGTGTTTGCCTTGCTTGGTAGATGGACAGCTATTGAAGAGATTTTACTGCAAACAGAAAAGGATTTACTCATTTTTGACTCTAGCTGTTGCAGCTTTTTGACAGAGCATATAGCAGGAAAAGTTTCACTGCAGTTTTTAAAAAATATTTCCTTGAGTATTTTTTGCTCCATGAAACCCATAAAAAGAATGAAAAATAGTCCTAATAAATGGATGAATATAGGACAAGTCTACAGGGTATGATTCAAAGTTCATGAAGAATATTAGTAAAGTTATTTGGATTAGAATCCAAAATCTGATGTTACCACCTTGGGAAGAGTTTTAATGCCTAAAACTTTTGAATCATCTCTGATATTAAACAATTTGGAACAACTGTAATGTGAAAAACTGAGGAACAGCAGGTCCCATGCAAGGAGAAACAATTCTGAACCCTCCCACATATAGTTGTCCTCAGAGAGAGCATGTTTTACTCAACTGCTTCTCAAAACCAGGTATCTCAGCAATGATGCTTACTTTCCCCAGAACCAGAAGCCATATGGCAGAGGAAAGCAAAGTATTTTCAGTAGAACACTTCAGCTCCAAATTCACTAACCAGGGAAAGAGCCTGAATTTATCTGTGCTTTGGAATCTGTTATGACTTCTGACCATTTACAGCTGAAAGAAAGGCAAAAAAAAAAAAAAAAGGACTTGACCTACTATTTTGGAACCCATCTTAGTTAAGGGTTAGATAAATGTCCATTTAAAATTTCAATGCATCAACAAAAAATTTCTTATGCCGTGATTATGAACTGTACCTGCACAAGACACAAAACAGTTTTTATGATTCAAAAATGTGGTTTTGACCTTCACTGTATAAAAACCTGATATTCTGGGATGGAATGTTTCGTTAAAATACTGGTACTCTACCTCTTGGTCAGTTCTGGCACTGGCTTCATGCATTCCATTGTCTGTGGGATGTGAAAAGCATAAATACACAGTTATGAAGAGAAAACATCACACGTGAAACAAACACTGCTTTAAGGCTTCTTTGTTTGTACTGGTGGCCTTTTCATGCAATTTAAACATTAAGACATCAAAGCTGAAAGGGCAGACTAAAGAGCACTGTATAATTCAGTATTGTTATTCTAACCTCAGTTTGACAGCAAATTAATGCAAGATCAATAGACAGAGTACTTCAAGAGCCAATCTAATAGTGTTATTTTGCTAATTAAGTGTCTGATCTTCGTATCAGTTTATTGATATCTAAGAAAAAATCAAAAATTATTCTAACTGGCTGAATGGGCTTTTACATTAAAGAAAAAAGAAGCATAAACACCCCTCACACATTTTAGTGGGGAAAAAAAAAATTATATTGTCTACCAAAATCATGTTACAGTTTAACTACAATGATGATATGCGGTCACTTCATTAACCTCAATCAATGTTGGGTGTTTGGTTTATGAACTAAGACTTATTCATTTCTCCCAGCACAAATCCTCAAAACTGCTCATTTTTATCTTTTGTAGAACTGGCAATTAAAATAACCAGAATGTCTCTCACTAGTGAGGTTTTCAGTATATCACCACTGTAATCATCCTCATACTTTTGGGAGGAAAAGAAGACAATAATTTAAAATCACTGATGTCACTTGTACTTTGGTGTACTAGATGTGATAACACTCCTAAAGTAAAGAATGTGTAAATGGAAATTTAAGTTCTGCTGTGATATCAGATCATTAATGCTATATACTGTAGGTCCTAAATCTGCTTTACCATGGAAATATATGTCCAGAATGAAGCAAATAATCATAACTCTTTATGTTCCCTAAGCATGTAAAGGTACAAGTTGTTTTCTACGTGTACCTAAGACTTTCTTTTGCCAAGCAATTGTGGTACATTATGGAATGATTATCTGTAAAATTCAATTATTTACTACACATATTTTGAAACACATTCTTGGAATACAATCATCTTTCATTTTCCTTTTGCTTAAACACCTCATTTTAAAGAATGGGAAATTAGACCACACAGTATTAAGCAATTTGTTTTTCAATATAACCAAGTGTGTAGGTTTATCTTGTTTGTGAAGCTTGAAGATCAAGTGTTCACAAACAGATGTATTTGAGGTAAATAAAGTATCTATCATAAAAAGAAAACAACAAAGCTAATGCTTTGCAGCCTTTGGGAAAAAAAATACAAAAACTTTCCCCCTTTGTCTTCCTTAAAACCAATTTAAAAAAATGGCTAGCACTAATGTAAAACAAAGGAAAATGAGGCTCGCTATCCTTCACTGTACTCAATTCTTACAGTCAATACCTGGTATGTTAACACTGTTTTCCATTAATCCAGTATGAATTTCTGCCTTTCCTTGAGCATCTCCTTTATTAGTTTTTGCTTCTGCTTTTTCTTCTCGAGTTTTTCCAGCACCATCTTCTGTTTTTTCCTGAATGCCAGCAGTCTGAATTGCATTAGCAATAGTATCAGCGATTTCATCCAGTTCAGTTGAGCTGAGATTCTCCACATTCACCTGGTGTTTCTCTAGGTCCTTCAGTACACCTTTAATAAGTGTTTCTGGATCACAAAACAACATAAGCACAAGATTCAGCTGTTTTCAATGAGTATATGTGCTTGTATCAGAAATATCTTTAGTATTTCCTGAAAGATATCTTTTCCTTTTTGAAGACTGACTTTTTTTTCAGAAGTGCATACAAATTCAGGGAGCCAATACATAAACTGAAGTTAGCTGATGTCCTCAGAAAAAAAATGGTATTAAAAATGGATGTTACAGTTTATGACTGAATAGTAGTCTATGTGGTTACTATCTAAATTGATAGTGAATCTATGCCAGTACAACCTAACAAGTTGTCCTACAGAGATGAATATAAACTTTTCATTTCTTTACAAACTCAGCACCATTTCCTAGTCCAAAAGGATTCAAAAACTGATGTATTAACACAACTCAATTTTTTTTTTTGAACTGCACTAAAAAGCAGTACCTAAATACAGCAAATACAATAGTATCTATTAGATGTCGGGTCTCTTTGTCAATTTGGTTTCTGCAGCTGTATACAGTTTTGGAAAAAAAGCAGTCAGATATTTTGTCATTCAATCAAAAAGCTCCACTCAACTAAAAACATTTCATAAATATATATGCAATGAACAAATCTTCTAAATCATAATGGTTTATCTTGTAAAGTAAACATTTCGACAAAAATGAACTTCACCAAACACTGTTTTGGTTTGTCAGCTATGAACAGCATGGGGAAAACGTCTTATAAATCATATTAAGGAAATAAATGTTAAGCTGATAGTCCAGACCAAGAAAATCAAATGAACATATATTTAGGAAGCAAACAAACAAACCAAAACCAACAACAAAAAAAAAACCAACCAACCAAACAAACAAAACGATCCAACACCAGAGCCAACACTGATGTGAAAAAGGTTTTGAAGATGAGAAAATTCAAGGACAGTAGATATAAGAGATGAACTAGAAGATGTAGTGTAGCAGCTATTCAGGAAAGTTACCTCTCTGACTGCATATATCATTTAGTTCCATTCCAAGTAACTGTAAAATTCAGACTAATCTCTATTGGATAAATAAACACTTTTAATTATTTACGGACTTCCTCTGGCATCTCAAAAACCATTTCTAGTCATGCCTCTGTTCTGCGTAGTCATATTCTTCAGAAATTTATCACATATATGTATGCAAGAAACCTTTCACTTGTGTAAGAACATCAAGTTGTAGACTGCTGAATGTATAAATTTCTACATAAGCAGTCTAAAGGCAATATCCAACCTTTTCTAGCAATGTTGCCAAATGCTTTAGCACCTCAAGGCTAATCAAAAGATAAAGCATGTTATTGAGAGCATTATCCAAATGTCTCTTCCACACTAATGGATCTGAGGCATCAAACCTAGGAAATCTGCACCAGTCTGTGAGCACCTTCACAGTAAAGATATTTTTCCTAATGCCCAGTCTGACAAAGATTAAAACACTCAAAGAAGAAAGGCAAAATAAAAGGTTTTGTTTCTCACAGCATTAGGTAAGAAATAGTAGCAAGATACTTTTGTACTCTAGGGAAAAGGCAGAGCACTTGTGATTTTGCAGGGACACGAACCCAGGATTGTTTGTCATTAGGAAAAGAGGCCAAGACATTGGACATTTCTGTCATTTTCTTTTTGATCCCACAATGTTAAAATCATAGAATCATCTGGGTTGGGAAAGACTTTGAAGATCACCAAGTCCAACCACCAACTTTACCTGCAGATATCCACCACTAAACCATGGCCTGATCCCCATAACTCACCAACTAAAGTAACTCTATTTTCCCTGGATTATTTAGTCAGTAAGAGCCAACATAGCTTAAGTATTTTAAATAGTAGGTTTACTGTGAGTTGAAGAGTGTTTGAAGTTGTGTTTAAAAGCACAGTACAGGAAAAATGTTAAGTGAGAGAGTTGAAAACAAAATCCCACAATCTATGCCAAATTCTCCAGTCCATGATCAAATTGAATTCAAGAAATTTTCCTGGGAATCACAAGTAGCTATTTAGAGGACAGCCATTAGGAGAGGGTGTTACACAAAGCAGCAATGCAGGAAATTAAGCTATAAGAAATACCAGCATGCCAGGTTACTACAAAAGTCTTGTTGCTGCTTAGGTATCACTTCTGTTCTTATGTTTTATAGAACTATCGACCAATAAAATGACATGACAGAAAAAACTGAATTATTGAAGCAAAAGTAATAAAGTCAGCAAAGAAAAGACAGAATATATGTCAGTTCAAAATCAAAACTAAAACTTTTTAAGTGCATAAAAACACATTGCAAGTGCACTGCAGCAGGAAAAATTATTCTTGGAATAGTCTGACTATCTGACATCTGTGCATCTACATCAGAATGAAAACTACAGTGATTTCAATGAGTATTTTTTTCAAGAGCTTTTATCCATTTCTCCATTGGTATGAATAACCTATGAAGTACAGCAGTTAATAATCTATGAATGAAATTTTGAAGTTTTTTGAATACCTCTAGAATAATATTTAGAATCATTTTTACTGCAGATGTGGGATCCACCTCTGTATTTTCTAAGCCCTTTTGTAAAGGTGGAATGGCCATGGAAATTGTCTATGAGAAAAGCAAATGATTTTTAAGAACAAAAGCAAACTAAGAACTTTTTCTAAGAACACACATCATTGATTAATGTCATTCCCTTCTAGGCAAAAGAGGAATAGCAGATTGGAGACCTGTACATGAGTTTCCCACAATCCAGATGAATTTCCTAACTGTTCCTAACTGATTTAGGGTCACTCACTCACCTCCCAACAATAGTTTTGAAGCATTTTCAATTTGTTCAGCTTCAGAACAGAACCTACATTTATTTTCCCTAGCCTTAGGATGCCTGATTCTAGTCATAACATTGAAAAAAATGCCATTCTGCTATTGTGATTTTCAAGCTGCTAGGAAATATCTTACCCAGAAATTATATTTTTGAAGTAGTTCAGTGTTTAACATACTACAAAGTTTTACATGAGGAGACGCTTCAAAGAAATTTTAGCAAATAGAACAAGGATAAAAACAACTGAGTAAAAGTTGTATAAAATGTGTTCATTCATTTAAGATAAGTTAGTTCAAATTACAGGAATTCAGTAGCAGAAACAAGTCTAAAGTTGCTCAGAATTCTAATTTGAAAAATCAGCAACCTGGGGTTTCCAAGATGAAAGTAAATTTTAAACCTCAGAAAAATAACTTCCTTCTGCATTTGCCTGTTAAGTTTTATGCAAGCTAGTTACTGGCCATTACATCAATATCAGAAAAGAAATCTTAAAGCAGAATTATGTTTCAGGTAACGTATAATTAAAAGAGCTCTACTGAAGTAGCACTACTGAATTTTTGTTTGCTTGTTTCAGTTCCTTTGCAGCCAGCTGTCAGAACCAAACACTGAGCTAAGTCAACAACACGTAGTCAATGTCATTTCCATTCCATTTCATTTTTCCAAGCCTACTGCTCTTCATGTTTATTACTTTAGCCAAGCATTATCTCAGCAGTCCAATTCCAAAGGATAATCATCAATAACCTCCAAATAAATAAATAAATAAATAAATAATAAAAAAGAAAATGAAAGATGGAGAGCAATCAAATGAGAAACCGAATGGCCACTGGCTGTACCTCAGTTACTACTAACAAGCTCACTGCAAGTCCTTCTGTTTCATTAAAAAAATGTTATAGAGAAGCCTCCTATTCCTCTGTTGCTGCTATTTCTACTCTGGTCAACAACACCCACACTTGTGCTAATGTAAGTGAAAACTGAGGCTTCTTTTAAAGAGCAAGTGTGAATTAAAATGCTGAGGACAGAAGGCAGCAACCAAAGGTAGTAAGTACGAGGAGTATCATGTTTACATCGAGAGGAAGAGTCACCAAAAGGTCTATAACAGCCTGGTGAAATTGAGGTCTACACAAAGAGTCTTCCCAGTTTACTGAAATGCTGTTAAAGTGTCTGTGTCCACTTCATATTATGGTACTGGTTCATTTTTGTAAATAATTTGAAAGCAATATGATATGGCTGATACACACAAATATAAATGCATCTACTTAAAAAGCATCTCTGGACAACTTAAAGGAATTATTATGAATTTTCTAAAATCTAAACAATCTAAAAAGATTGTTGCAGAAAGATCAAAAAGCAGTGGGCTACTCCAATGGCACAGCACTTCAGGAGCATCCACTTGAGCATGAACATGTGTCTGTACAGCCTTTATATTCTCCCACCAGCATTATGGGAGTGAAGTCAGCAATGCTCAGCCATGCTTCAGATTGCCTGTACTGCAAACTTCTGTACTACTGTACTTCTGCCTCGGCTTCGTCTTCTGAAATGAAGAAGGCAAGTTGCCTTTCATATTTACCACAGAACTGTGATGACCTTAAAAGCACATATATCACAGCTGATATAATTTTTAATATCAGCTTCACCGTTTGAACTCTCCTTACTCAGTAACAATAACAACTTACTAAGGGAAAAAATGGCTTTTATTGCACACCACATAAATCATGCTCCATACATCACTGGGACAACTGCTACAGTCAGTTTGCTCAACAAGTGGTGCAGAAGCAGTAACTGTGTTGAAATCATAACACGCCACTTCCTCCTTGCGACCAGCAGTACGACAGGGCAGACTGTTCATTTGTAACCCACCATCCTGTTCAACACACATCAGCTGTCCTCAGCAGCTGAGCATCAGCCAGCTTGGTGGCCACAGCTTTGCAAGACACAGAACATGCACAAATAATTGTGCTCTATAAATATGGAAACGTGCTATTTTTGGAAAAAACAAAAACATATGTATTACTAATTTTGTGACTTTAGCAGAGCAGTGGAGAGATATCTTCTGCAATACTTAATATAGAAAAGAATTGAGTATACTAGAACCAATAATTTTAAGCAGAAAAATTCTAAATAGTGCTGGTGCAGAATGCAGATTAATGATTTCCAGGTTGCACAGTGACTACAAAGGCAGCACCCACACACATCATACTTCTACTAAAGGTAACTGTTTTCAAATCTGATAAAAAATAACTCCACGTTTCCTTCTCTTCTATTTCTCCCTCAGGGTGCCTTGTTAGCTAATTCACCTGCCACTGTTTCACCACAATTCTCAGTGCTAATCTGCTCAGTACCTTCTGGATTGTTCTGCCAGACAGATTGCTGTGTCTAATTCTGCACAAGATACAGTACTGAACTGAGCTTGTGCAACTGTCCTGCTCAGTTTTTGAACAGTTGTATGGTTTAGAAAATGCAAGAGAGTGTGAAACCCCCATACATAAATCCTGAAGCACCAGAGAGCCTGGAGATATGTTAAAAACAGAAAAAGATATCATCCAGGCAAATCTGAATCCAAACCATCATCATTCTAACAGACAGTACTTTAGGCTATGAATATACTCGTATCTGTCCTCACCTCTTCCTTATAAGACTGTTAAGTGGCTCAAAAATACAAAGGAATACATATTGCTTCCTACTCAAATGATCATAATTTTATGTCTAAGAAACATTTAAAAGCTAATGTAATGGAAGAAGCTCCTACAAGGCATGTTATGTATGCAAAGTCAAAGCAGCACAACCCGATGAATTGGGAAACGTGTTATTCCCTCTAAGTGTTAAGCATTTTTTTCCCACTTGGCACCTACTAGGAAAGGTGAAGTGGAACAGCTGGAGGATAATGAAACCAGCATGTGCCTAGTTTGTTTTGAGTCTAGCAACAAAATTGTCTAACCTGTGCGAGAGACTTATAGTGCCACCTGGATTTGATTTTACATTATAGTTCGTTCTTTGAAACCTATTATCTCTGGGCACCATACCAAGAATGCTTTCACTTCTGAGCATCCTTTAGATTGCAAGCATTATCTTTCCCTGTCGCATCTTTGATGTTTTCATGTGTTCTGGCTTTTTTTGTTGTTGTTGCTTTTGTTTTTGTTTTACAAAATAAAAATAAGAAAAAGGGAAAAAAAACCACCAGAAATCTAAGAACATTAAACTTTATAGATGATAATAACTACAAAAGGGATTCAAAGAAACCTGCTTGTATACATTGAAAATCTATTCGGATCGTGGTAAATGCACTGTAAGAGATGTAACTGCTTGGCAATGGTCAAGGATCAATTATTTTATTTTTCAGACACCGTGAACCACTGGAATAACACCAATTATTAGTTAGCTTGGAGAAACATTGAATGACTGAAAATTATTTTCTAAACTCTACCTGATCCCCTGCCATAATATGACAATCTGCCTTGCACTTAAAATGCATCATGGTGTCCTCTGAGATGTTGCACTCAATGTTCTTTTAAGTATCTGTCAAACTATCACATACAAAAGAAATCAGGATCCAGTCATGCTAAGTTGCATTAGCAAAAAAAGAAAGTACAGCAAATAAGTTGTAATAGATGGCACAGCCAAATGGAGCTCTAATTCCATCTTATAGAATATAAAATCATAGGGTATTCTGAGTTGGAAAGGACCCATACAGATCATCAAGTCTAACTCCTGTATTACTGTGTGCCTGCATAATTGAGAGACTTCCCTCCATATGTACTGTGCAAAATTTATGTCACTGTTAATTTCTGAGTCTAACTTTGAGTTTTACCCATTGTCCTTGAAGTTCTAGATAAATAAATAAAAATTAAACAAAACTAGATAGTCTATAGTACCTATATATAGCGTGGGTTGCGTACATAAAAACAGATGCAAAGATACACTCATAATTACTAATTGTTTGAAAGGTCCTTTGAAAATATAACAAGTTACGTAAATGCTATGGTTTATTGAGTGCCATGTATATCTGGATGCATATGGAAGGTGGGCTGAAGAATGTGGGTAGATGTTTGAAGGAAGAGTCGTTAGAATGGTGAACATTATTACCCTGAGTAAAAAGATAGAAATATGTCAATAGTAGGAGATATATGTCAATGTCTATTTATATTTAAAAAAAAAAAAAAAAGCTCAGTGATCATGAGGGAAACTTCAGAAAAGATAAAATAAATAAGTACCAACTTTACCATCCACTACCCTCAGCAGGTCCTTTGGATCATTCTGGGAAGCAGATTTATGATTCAGCATCTCGGGGGCTGGCCTTAGCGCTCCAGAGGCAGGCTGTGGCTGGAACAGTTTATTCATTTTGAAATCTTCTGCTTTTCCTCTGGAAAAACTTCCATCAAAAGGACCAACTTGAGGAGAGTAGAATCTATCAGCATAAACGTGTGACCCTTTAGTCCTACTGTGAGAGCTTTTATCATTGCTTTGTGCTGACAAGTTCTGAGTGATGTACGTATGCAGTGCAGCCATCAGAGCTTTCTGGTCAAGCCCCACTTCTGACTCCATTGAAAACTTGTCTGGCTGAGGCTGGTTGAAGGTCATCCCATGGAGATTTTCAGCATACTGTTGATGAGATGTTGATGCGTGGGCCAATGGAGTTGCTTTTTCTTTGGGTTTTTGCATCAAGTAGTACCTAACAGGATCATTATAGACATAGCTCTAGAGAGAACAGAAGGTAGAAAAAAAGGACTGGGTCAGTATTTCATGGTAATAATTTTTGTTATCCCAGGTATAAATCATCAGGAAAACAAGAAAGAAACAGAACCTGTAGGTGTAAGGGGGTTGCAATTCTCACACTGTTAAGTTTTGCTTGAAGAGGCACTATCAGCTTGGCAGAAATTTTGCAAAACAATTCATTAGATTATTAAAGCAAGAGAAAGAGATTACAGAGAGTGAGAGTGATAAAATTCAAACTTGATGTTAATGATGTATGCACTGTTTGCATAGAAGAAAGAAAATTAGTGAAATCAATTTCCCTTTGTATTTTAATAGACTTCTGAGAATAACTCTTATTTTTTTGTTACTTAGGCAAACCTTCAAGCAAAAAACAGAAAAGTCATCTCTTAAATAACAGAGAAAATATAAAAAATATTTTTGTATATAAAAGATACTTTGTTCTGTTTAAAATTCAATCTTTGAATTTTTGACTAAATTAAATTTGTAATCAGAGGATCCGTTATAAAGGATATAAAGAATATGAAGAAGATATAAAGGATATAAAGGATATAAAGAAATGTAAAAGTTTTTAATTTCTTGATTATTTTTAAATAAAATAACTCAGTAAATTAAACAAAAAAATATACAAGATGGTTCAATTATCCTAAAGCCACATTTTAATTAGAAAAAAATGCTGAGAAAACTGGTAAGAGTGGGCAGCCATGAAAGTTTCTGTTCTCAGTTTCAGAATTTCAAAGGTCACAATGGGAAATTCAAAATCACAAGAACTGTGCTGTTCTTGTTGACCAATTTTTCGTAGATGAAAAAATTTAGTTTTGAGGACAAATTCTGAGTGCCCCTTAAGCACTTTAATCTTTACTCAGTACTTAAAAAAAAAAGAAAAAACATTATTTACTATTACATAGACTGTAATCTAATCCTAAACAAAATTTTGTTATGATCACAACCCGAAGGCAGAATTTTCTCTTTTTGACAAAGCAGTTCTACTATCCTGAATTATTTCACTCCCTACTACATGCCAATTTGAACAAAGAGATTTATTTATGTTCACAGTTATTCCAACTATTCTTCATTCCTTCAATCGTTAGCAGGGTCTGTTGTGAAAGGACAAGGGGAAATGGTTTCAAACTAGAAGACAGAAGATTCAGATTGGATATAAGAAAAAAGTTTTTGACAGAGGCTAGTAAGGCACTGAACAGGCTGTCTAGAGAGGTGGTGAACACTATTCACCCATTCCTGGAGACACTCAAGGTTAATCTGGACAAGGCTCTGAGTACCTGATGGAGCTATAGGTGTCCCTGTTTATTGCAGGGGTTTGGACGAGGTGACCTTTAAGAGTCCCTTCCAACTCAAACAGATGATTCCATGACTATGTACTGCAAAATGCTGAAAAATATGTCCTGGATCTCTGGTTTTTGTGGATTTTTGTTTAAAGGGTCAGAAAAGCACCTCAGACAGCAATCATTCCAACTCTCACTGCTGTGAATCATAACAGATCCCTGGTGTCTCTGCATTGACAGTAGACCAACAGGGGACTGAGACAGAGCTGAAGCATAAATTCGGAGACATGCAGAAACCGTACACATCAGAGGAGAGCAACAAGTAGAATTTAGCCTGGAAAAAAAACCCCACTGTTTTTAATGAATACTACCTACATACTTAATGGCAAGGCCTGGATCTGAAAATCTACTAGTCATATGTATTTATTTTCTAGTGCCAACAGGTCTTTGCATTGTGTAATTAATTCTAACGATACTGCCCAGAAGGAACTGAAGAGGATAACACAAAGCAGATGATCCACACACACCTCTCCATTCCTTACCACCTCATGCTCCTTTCTTCGATGTTTGGAGGACTGTCTGGGGACAAAGGCAGGGAAAACATGAAAGGGAAAGGAGGAAATTCCCCATTCAGACAGTGAAGAACATGGAATCAGCTAAATCCATCTCAGGTAACTATGCTTTAATTGAGATCTTTCTCCTGCATCCAGCTGCCTGTTTTGCTTCTAAAGATTTACTAATAAACCAAATCTTAGGGAAAGCATAGCTGCCAGACTCTCTCAAACTACTTGTGAAAGATCAGGGTCAGGTGACGTGGGGCGGCTTTTCATGGGCCGTTTAACAAGTCCAAACAGTCTTTAACATTAACAAATCTATGATTTCCTATGCTTTTTCAGACAAGATCATCTTGAAAGAAAATGCAAGAGAAACACCAAGTGATTGTACACAAATTGCATTATATGTGAGAATCGGCCCTGGGCTCAGAGCTGCATCTTTGTCAAGAAGGGGCAGCCGCTCAGCAGCTTGACAGGTCACACTTCGGGCAGTAGGGATGAAATATTAAAAGTTCTAATTAAAGCTCAGCATCGACAGCTCAGCTGTCTTCACAGGGCACTCAGTTACCAGCCCATCTGATGTAGCTCAGTCTGACTTAATTAAAGGGCTCTCACAGCTGTATGGCAATCCTCAATGTGGGTAACAAAGAAAAAAAAAACTGTTCCTTGCTGTTTGTCATCTCAGATAAAACACAGCACAAAAAATGTATGTGCAAACAGAAATACACAAGATAAAATGCAAATAAAAGTGCAGCAATGGATAATTATGCTAGGCTCTGAGACTTTGCTAAGTGGCTTGGGGAAAAAAAAATATCTATTTTTTTACAGGAAGAGACAGGAGGAAAACATCTGTTACACGTAGTTCAGTGACAATTTACATCTTACATTATTAATAAGGAAGGTTTTCTGCACACTAGTCTCCTGAACATGGATATTGCTAGTCTGACTTATTTCAAAGTTAGATAGGATAACCCATGGCCAATGAAAAGAATATGTACAATTCCCTAGTTGGTGCCTTTGAAGACCCTGCTAACATCATGAAGAACAGGAAAATGGGGACCAGGAAAAGTGTAAAAAAGAAAATTCATTTCTACACTGATTAAACTGACAGTAATAAATGAAAAAAAAAAAAGAATACCCACAACCAATCAACCAACCAGATAAAAAAGCATTAAATGAGATGTGCAGAACTAGGAAATAATACTGTAGTACATACATAATTGATACATACATCCATACTTCTCTATTACAGAATCATAGAATCCTTGGAGTTGGAAGGGATCTTTAAAAGTTATCTGGTCCAACTCCTCTGCAATGAACCAGGACATCTACATCTCCATGCTAAGAGCCCCATCCAGCCTGCTCTTGAGCGTCTCCAGGGACGGGGCATCCACCACCTCTATGGGGAACCTGTGCCAGTGCCTCACCACCCCCACTGTAAAAGACATTTTCTTTACACCCAGCCTAAATCTACCTTCTTTTAGTTTATTACCATGAACAAATTTTTTATCAGATAAAATAGTACTCAATAATCTCATGTTACTAATATTTAAAAAGTACTAATCTTTAAAAAGTACTCTGAATTGCAAAAACACTCAATTAAAAAAGATCTTATTTCTCCACCTCACAAGATTTTCCTCCCATTCACCACCTTTCAAATAAGTTATCTCAATAATTCACACATTATCAACCGCCTTATATACACTAACCTTTCTGAAGATGGAATTGTTAGGGTGATGTCTTGTATGGTTTAGCAATGTAAGTAACTGACATTTTCTGTATGAAAGTTCACAGAAGGGCACATTAAATGACACCCTGCAAAGGCACTCTGAGTCTATGAACTATATGTTTTGTTTAACAAAAAAGTAATTTAAAAAAGGAACAGGATGAGATACATACATCATAAGGCACAGATAAATACTGTGCAACTTATCCACCAAGGGGCAGATTGATTTGAATGTCTGGCCAAAGGGCAGAAGGAATAGAATTAAATTTATGACAAAACATTTCTTGAGAATATATTTTCTTAATCTTAAAGGGAAATATGCTGAAAGAAATTCTTCAGGAATACAAAAAAGAAAAAATATCTTCCTCCCTCAATTTCATTTGGCCTTTTTAAAAAAAAAAAAAATTTCAGATATTAATTCATGTTTGCTACCATCCAAATTTGGTAGACCATAATTCCACTTACATTATTTACTGTGGCTATATGAGATAGTGGCAATACTCTCTCCAAAATTAAAAAAAAAAAAAAATAACAAACACAAATACCAGGCTGTCCCTCAACAGTGTCCTAGGGCTACCAAAAATAAAATGTTTCATCTTTTAACTTACTGTGTGAAGGGAAAGAAGTTTAGCTTTTCCTACCAGGAGCTGTTTAGATGCTTTGCAAAGTGCATGCACTTGCCTTGTATAAACCTGCTACTTGGGAAATTGCACACATTCATGTAAGCCCCCATCTCACAAAGAGCACTGTGGGCTGTGAGTCTGTACACCTCCATTTACCTTTGCCTTGAGAAAAATCCAGCTGACAACGAAACTTGAGGGCTGTACCAGTCATGAGGAGTGGATTACAGTGCAAAAGTTCCTGGGTTGGAGCTGGGTAAGCAGTACAGCTGTGTCCTCAACAGACTGTTCTGCAAAGTCCTATGCTAACAAAGCTTTAATTCTTCCAGTCTGTGAGCTGGTGTATCCGAATAGTGCTGCACTGTGAGGAGGATATCTTAGCAGGCTTCAAGCCAGCTGAAGGGAAAATCTCTGTTCTACAAGTCTCTGCATGCTGCAGACATGAAGTTACATATATAAGTTCATTCTTATGCTTGTCTGAAAATAATAAATAAAGCCAAAGGAAAAAATTCAATCTTCCAAGCAGTAGTAGAGCAAAAGTATTTTCCACCAACTTATAATAGCCTTTTCACTTACAGTGACAGTAATAAACAGACAGTAATATCATGCAAGAAACCATTGCATAAAAAAAAAAAAAAACCAACAACTTGGAAGATTAATTTGTAACCCAGAAAGCAGTAAAGAGGCCAAACCAGTGCCTTCTGCAGCAATGGGATGCTCTCAGGCCTGTGGTCTTTTGACAGATTCGTAGGCCGAAAGCAACAGAGATGGTTAGTCATCTCATAAAGCCTATTATTTCACT